AAAGTTTATCATTTGCACATGTTTTGTCTTGCCAATTTACACATTCAAGCAATTTAAACTCGCGCGCTGATTTCTGTGCACCCACCCGCCACACGAGAAGCGCACACACACAGAGAGAGAGACACAGCGTGAACAGCGAATTGATTCCTCTTTTACATGCACACAAAGTTATGATACAATACCCGTTTTGGCAAGTATTCTAGTAAAAACAGTCAGTTATGTCTTAAGTGAATGTAAACAGCTAAGAAAAAACCCTGATGTGCGTCAGTATTAGGTCCGTGCATTTGGTCTTAAAGAGACAGCAGCCAATAAATACCTGCTTCTGCTAATCAAATAACACCACAGATCTAACGAAGGTTAATCTGTATTTAACTTGTGCAGTGAGCACTATTGTGTTATTTTACACTTAGTTATTACATTTCTGTACCTGAATACTACTGTTACTGACTTTATTTGTAACTGTGTTATGTAGTATTCATCAATGCTTGTAATTTGTGTAGTTGTTCTTGTTTTATTACTAACTTTATTAGTTAAGCTAGTATTTTGTGCTGTGGTATAGAAGTACTTAAAGTAAGCTTTCACAAATTTATTTTTTTTGCTCATCCGAAAAATGATCCAATCTGTGACTCAAAATCCGTAATATGATCCGAACCGTGAGTTTTGTGATCCGTTGCACCACTATTTTTAACATCAGTATTTTTAGAAAACAAGGAGACTAACCACCATTTAAAGCAAATGTAAAATGTGCTGAAGTATCAGGTCAAAGCACAAGCAATTATTTCGAATTATTTTATTATTTACATTTATCATACACTTCTGGGTCATTCGGTGTCAAATCAACCAAAATTATGAAACTTCCCTGGCTCAAATTTTTGATTTTGTTAATATTTTTTCTGTAGAAAGACAAGCATAAATAGTAGTGAAAGCCAAAATATTAAATGTCACAGATATTTATATTTATTGAGTAATCCACTATTTTGTAGAGGGGGGTCAAAACGACAATTTTCACCTGAGATTTGGAGCCAATTTACAGGGGTATAAAAATGACTTTAAAAAGCTGGCAGCATCATTATTTTATTTTTATACAGAGATTGGTAGCTCTATTAGTCAAATCTGTTGACTTCAGCAATCTTTGTTTCATTATATGCAAACAGCGACCGTTCAAAAATGGCAAAAAACATTTATTGTGCTTTTTGCCTCAAGTTTGCTTGCCTGTAACTCAAGAAGTATTAAAGATATCTTAATATCCTTTTAGATTCTGGTTCTTAACCAACTTTCCTTTTGGTATCTTCATTTTAAAGGCCCTCGATGATTCAATCCCAGAGATATGAAGATCTCAATGCAGCTCCATGAGTAAACTGGACAATTGTACACATTTTCAGTGGTCAAAAACCAAATGTGGGTCATTTTGCATACAGCTGATTTTTTCTTTTTTCTTTTAACCCTTTAACTGTCACCCGTCCCCTCTGTGGGATGCCTAAGTTTACTTCACTATATTACAATTAAATCCTAATCTAATCATGACAAACTATATATCGTTGGAAAGTAGGGCTGTGCGAGGAGTTCTGACCTTTGTCAAAAAAAGTCTTCTTTGTTGCCGTTTTTTCTATCACACTTTAGAAATCATCAGAAATTACATATCAATTGAAAATTTAATTCTCAAAATTCATTCTTTGAAACCCATTTTAAAATCAAACATTGCATTACCGTGAAAATGGTACATCAATATCATGTTACAAAATGTTTTCGTTCATTAATTATAGAAATTTAAGTTTGGATCATGCACTTTCATGTCTATGTTCAAAAATGTGAGTGACAGTTAAGGGGCTAAAAAGGAATATCTGAAGAGCAAATAATGTTGAAACTAGAAATGTATCTTGTGATTTTCTATCAACACAGCTGCATTGAGCGTACCTGAGTGCCATGAATAATCTTTTTTCGGTAACACTTTACAATAAGGTTCATTAGTTAACATTAGTTAACTATTTCAGTTAACACGAACTAAGAATGAACAATACTTCTACAGCATTTACTAATCTTAGTTAATGTTAATTCCAACATTTACTAATGCATTATTAAAATCAAAAGTTGTGCTTATTAACATTATATTAACATTAGTTAATGTACTGTGAATTAACATGAACTAACATTAACAAAGATTAATAAATACTGTAATAAATGTATTGTTCATTGTTTGTTCATGTTAGTTAATACATTAACATTAACTAATGGAACCTTATTCAATATATTTTAATATCTTTCTAGATTCTCATTCTTAATAAACTTTCCTATTGAAATTTAAGATATCTTTAACACTTCTTGAATTATAAACTTGAACTTGTATACTTAGGGAAATTTTTTTGGGGGGCACTCAGAGAGGTGTGTTCCATTCCATTGTTTTGATAAGAGGGAAACAAGATACATTTCAGTATTATTTGTGAAAGTGTGAAAGTGAAAGTGAAGTGACATGTGGCCAAGTATGGTGACCCATACTCGGAATTAGTGCTCTGCATTTATCCCATCCAAAGTGCACACACACAGCAGTGAACACACACACACTGTGAACACACACCCGGAGCAGTGGGCAGCCATTTTTTGCTGCGGCGCCCGGGGAGCAGTTGGTTACGAGTCCGACTCTCTAACCATTAGGCCACGACTTCCCCATAACCAAATTTGTTCTTCAGACATTCCTCTTTAAACACAATAACTATCAGCTGTTTAAATTTTAAAATGTTACCTACATTGATTGCTACCAGCTATTAACCATTGAAAATGGGTAAAATTTAAAATTTTTGGACAAAATGTTTGAAAAAAGTATCAGCTGTATGCAAAGTGATTTGGTTTTTGACCACTGAAACCGTGAACAATTTACCAGTTTACTCATGGAGCTGCATTGAGATCTCCATATCTCTGGGACTGAATCATCGAGGGCCTTTAAAATAAAAATACCAAAAGGAAAGTTTGTTAAGAACCAGAAAAAAAAATGTTGTGAGTGTGTGTGTGTGTGTCTAAGTGCATCTTCAGCTGCTTCTTTAAAGATGTGATGTCTGACAAAATTCAAATCAAATTCAAACAAAATTCAAACCAAATAGGAATAACATCTGTGCAAAGTACCAAAGTCAAATGCAGATGCATTCTTTACACGTTTTTCCATGTATTCACAGTTTTGAACAACTATCATGCAATATCATTATACTGTTAACTATATACTGTTATAAAAACCATATCACCAGGTCACTGTTGACTCTTACCACTAGGCTATATTATCAAATTCATGAATTCCGCAGATATGCATTGCTAAGTGTGTAGGGAGAAGTGAATACTACACAGGGACACTGTGAATTGGAACGCATCTCCAGTTACCTCTAAGATGCGCACATCCTCCTCCTCTTCATCATCCTTGACCACGACAGGGACATTTGGTACGAATTTGACAGGTTCGTCATCAGACTCCGACGATGAGGATATGGTTATGTAGGACGTCTTCGTCCTAACTCTTTTAGCTAACAAAATAACACAACAAAAGGGTTATGACATGCAGAATACCACTATTACTTACAATAAAGATGAAAGTAACGCCAAAATAAAGGCTTGGTGTCAATACCTCGACTGCGATGGGTGTTGAAACTAGCCAGGTGGATGACATCATCATCACTGGACACGTCAGCCATGATAAGACACACAGACTCCCTGAGTCGTCCACCGTCTCTCTCTCACACAAACACCCATGCACACACACAGGAACCTGAAATGAGACAAGCATAGCCGCACATTAATACTCCACATGGTGAATTCATCATGCTTATGATATAAATACAGTCATAGTTCCTTCATGATGCACTTAGATTGGATGTATATGTGCTCCTAAGATTTCATTTCCCATTTCCCACGAAATGATGCAGTTTCCAAACAAGACTGACATTTTTAAAGCAGGCAAGTAAGACAGATTCATAACAACATTATATTCATGACCATTATTCAGCTTGAGTTCATGTACAACAAAAAAATGTAAAGTAAAAGAGTCAGAAGAGTTAATGACCTTTATGAATGAGTGCATTTATATTTAAAATGAGTGCTGTCAATAAGTATCTCTGTGTGCAGAGACTTAAGTGCGTTTTTTGTTTTGTTTATCTATGATGATTCAAATCAAACGCACCTATGACACCCAAACATGCTGTGTAAGTAGTCTGCCCACTAGGTTTTGAAACACAGCCCGTTAATTCCAGTAGATTGGCATAACAGACTAGCTGATCTCGCATAGTAATGCTTAGAAACCCTGTTGATGTTATGATCATTCGTTTTCCTTTCTGTTTTTACACATGTGGACATTGCCAGAGAAGTAAAATATAGAGTAAGATAGAAGAAACAAACAAATCTGTACTCGCTAAAGTTCCTAGCCAGGCTCAGCTAACGTTAGCTATTTGGCGTTAACCCCCCGCGCCAGCTGACATCAGTTAAACAAGGCAGATTTTCATTATCAGCCGGGTATTTCATCCCAACCTAATGGCGAGGACAAACGAACTCTAATAAGACTACAACGCACGAAGACTGCTTAATAAATTTGCACGTACCTCTCAGTCACAATATCCAGCACATCGAAAGCGTATGATCGCCGGATATCGAAACAAACGGCCAAAACAAGCCAGCGTGTGACATCAGACGCACATGCGTCTTGCTGTAGGCGGAACCACGGAGGGTCATGGGAGTTGTAGTTCTTTTCTGTTATTTATTTCTGGATGCCCTCTAGGTGTCTCTGTTTTCCTTTAATACAGTTTTACAATCACTTTGATGAAAATCTCGACGTAAATTTTCAAAACTCTAGATTCACCAACGATTATCAACTTGCATATTTTTCAACACTCCACACTCTTTTCCCAAGTGCTTGGATACAATACACAGAAAATGTGTTGATTGAAAGTCATCACAACTTAACATCAAATTATTACCATTCAAAATGCAATTCACAAATTACATCTGAGGTGAATGTCTAATCATTTCATTACAATGATCTTACTATCATTTGAAATAACTGATAAGGGTAAGTAGCCTGACTGTTGAATTATTCTTAATTCATTGTTTTATGAAAACTGACAGACAATTCCATGTTTAGACCTAATGAAAGTTTCAGGATAATAAGATCCATTGACACTAATTGCGTTGAAACATTTGGACTACATGATATATGGATATAACATTTCAACATTATTCTTTTCCAGACACTGTTTCTATGGTCCCATGTAGCCTACCACCTTTCTGGGTTTCCAGATTCGACATAGCTGTATGTGTAAAAGCCCATGTAATGTGAACCTGTATCCAAATCCACAAGTTGGTGAAAATAAAACTGTACTGTACTGTATTTATTTATTTATTTAGCTATATTCTACATGAATATTAGCGAACTTGTCTTCCATATAATGTTTATGGCGATTTGCAGACAAATCCTTGCCATTATCTTTCTCTCTAGATACACAGACAGACAGACAGACAGATAGATCCAAGTCACATCCAAGTCAAACAAAGTCACCATCCTTAACTTTATTTCATGAAAATGGAAAATATGCTGGCTCTGCAGAGATGAACAGTGGGCAATTATGCTCAGACTCCCTTCGGATGCAACAGGCTCTCCTGCAAAAGGTGATGACTAAAATGATGAAGACATTTGAAAGTAAAGTGTAAGTTGAAATGCATGCATCAGATGGCCATCCTCATTAAAAACATTTTGTGTTCCAGAATGAATGCTTCATCTGCAAATGACTATACAAACATGTCAGCTATTCATAAAAATTCTCATAAATGCTGGTTTCACCCAGTCAGTCGTCAGTCAAGTTCAGACATTACCCGCATCATAGCAGGAGAATCTATTGATATGTCAATCATTAAAATCGTACCCCTGCAATTATGACTGCCATGCTACCAAAGTAGTAGCCAACTGCCAACAGATGTATTAGCTAACAGATGGGATCTCCTAAATCAGACTTTCATCAAAATAAGAAATAATAGATTTCCTCTAGTGCACTAGAGTTTTTCTGTCCATTCATATAATGATTAAAAGAGTTTGTGAATGTTCACGTGAAGTACAAAATGAGAACACCAACAAAGTTTTGCTGTTTAAAAGAGATTTCTGAATCTGATGATTCAAACGTGTTAACATCTGTTAACAGAGAACATTTTTAGGTCTGGCTCACCGCAGTGATAGTATATGGGATTGCAAAACCTGATATGAAATCCAAATAAATTAATTAATTAATTAACCCACCACCAATAAATGATTAAATATATACTTTTAAGCGTAAGTTTATAATTTTTTTATTTATTTGTTTTGTTAAAATGTATATATTTTTGAATATAACTCCAACAGTTTATGCAATTTCCTGTATCTGTCATGTAATTATTATTTATTAAATTATTAACATATAATAATTATAAATATAAAAAGATCTCTTCATGAAATATCAGTATTGTAGGATTTTTTAAATTAAATTTACAGATGTCTCTCTTGCATTCTAGAAATTTTTATACTTTCATAAAAGGTTTATTATCTTTTTCGTGAAAATGTTTTATACAATACATACAAATCTTTGAGACTTTTGCAGTCATTTATACTTTTTCCTTCTGCTCCAAATGTAACTGAAAGTATTTCTGTGGGAAATATATTGCTTGGTATGAGATATAAATTGTTTACAAGAAAGCATAGCTTCCCTGAACAGTAGCCATGACATTTATTACTCCATTGCACAACTGAAGGAGTGTCAAGAATAAGTCCTAAAAGCATTGACCAGGATAACAGTAGCCAGATAGATGGTTTCAATTATTCAGCATAAAGCAGAACAGCCAGTACATCGTGAGCATGTGAACAAATCTAGACAGAGTAAGTGTTTGGCTTCAATACCACTGGACCACTTAGATAATTTAAAAATGATTGAGAAGAACAGCTTAGTAAAGTCCAGTGTGTATCCAAGAGACTATTGGATGTTTAACAATGCACTGACGTGTTTATGGAAAACAGCCTGAAGTGACACTGTGCATATGTTTGGTGGTGGTGTGACTGTGTATTAGCTGCTCACTGTTCAGCACTGAAGCAAACTTAACTCTGCAGTCAAGCCATGAATACAATGCCTCATTCACTGCTATGGAAATTCTTGACTATGTCGCCAAATTTATTTTCACTAACAAGGAGAAGGTAAACATAAGAGGAAGCAATGCCCTATTTTTACGTTTTATTTTTACAACCATAAAATAACTTATTTTGAAATAAATCTAAAATGTAACATTCCCTAATTATTCTTTTTAGGGGGACATTTTGCAAACCTAGGACAAAGGATGATTATATTTCTGTTAAGAAAGCTTTCCTGGCTAACCAAAATATAAAAATGTATGTTTTGGAATGTTTTTTTTTTTTTAGATTCAAACGTAAAATATACAGTAGAAATACGTCCAAACCACGAAAGGGATGGTGGAGAGGTACAGCAGATCCGCCAGAGCCAAGTTCACAATGTACACATACATCGACCCAGTTACGCGCACAGAGGTGTTCATGATGATCAAAGTGTAAATGTTTCCAATTACTCCAACCAAACACATGATGGTCAAAATTGTGCCGAGTATGGATGTTATTAGTATATCGTATGAAGACGCGGGCGCGTGCTCGTCGGGTCCTGTTATTGTTGGTGAGATGTTGGCAAATGCAGCCGTGATATTCACCTGAATCCTCACACCAAGTGGATCATCTGATTCCATTTTAAAAAGCGTCACTTCATTTCTTGGTGAAGTTCATTTTAACAACTGTTAAGAGCAGCAAAATGTGCGTCAAAAATCAGAGTTACCTGAAATTTCCATTATCCAAAATATGGCTATTAACTTACCAATATATGCATTACTTCTAATGTATTTCCAGGTGACGCTCTAAAAACGTACATACATTGTAAATCGGTGTAAATAAACAAAAACAAATGTGCGCAAAATGAGCCGCGTTCTCATCGTCTGCGCGTAAAACTTCCAAGACGGCAGGTCCAGTTGATGTAATATTGTCGTAGCCCCGCGGTCGTGGGTGGGATTTATGACAATCACTCGGGTCTAGTACGTACTGCATCACATATAGAACAATAAAGGATTTTAGCTTTTTGAATGCGCACTGCGCGCGTTTCACCGAATGCTTCAGTTACTTCTGTTTGTTTTGAAGTATCAGCAAGGAATTGGCAAGAAATCTTGCACTTATGAATAAAAGAAACAAATAAAGTTATTACAAAGTTTATCATTACAATTACAAAAAAATAATTGAATTGAATTTTTTATTAAAATTACTACACGTCATATATAAAAGTGAGTTAAATTCAAAATATGAATTTTATAAAATTTAAAACATTATTACTTTGCATACTTTTACATTAGAAAACGTTTACATTAGCCTATTATAAAATATTTGTTTCCGTCTACTATACAACTTACAATACAATAATTTCTGTTGTTTAGAATTTTCAGTAATTAATTTTAAAGTGGATTAAAGTGTTTTTCAAACTTTTGGTACCACTTTGATTTTACTTAAGGCAGCAGTTAAACTTATGTTTTCAATCATATTCAGTCAAATTGATCTGAAATATGTGAGTGCAGATGTCCATCATAACCTTTAAAGGATTTTAAAAGTAAAGCTGTAAATACTGAGGTCAAATGTACATTATTAATTTCAGTAACACTGTGCAGATTACCTTTATTTGTTTTTGCTGCTTATATTTCAAAGTTTTTCCAAATGTATAAAAACAGCTCAAGTTTGACAATACTGAGATCTAGGTTTATCAAAATAACATTTTGTTGTAAATCAAATCAAATCAAATTAAATCAAATCAAAATGTATTTATAAAGCCCCTTCAAAACACAGAGTGTACCAAAGTGCTTACAATTTCAAAGAAATTAGATAAAACATAATAAAATGCAAAGAAAGAGATAATTTAAAAAATCAAGAAAGAAAATAAAAAAAATAAAATGAAATAAAAATAAACTAATATGAATGCATCTAGATTATTTCAAAATAATGCATATAATCAATAGTCCTCACAAAGTAGCAAGGGCCTCATCAAACAAATATATCTTAAGATGAGTTTTAAACATGTTTACAGAGGTAGACAATCTGACAGATATTGGTAAATCATTCCACAACTTTGGGGCAGCAACTGAGAAAGCACAATCTCCTTTGCCTTTTAAACGTGGACGGTTGGGAGCAGTTGGTCTTGGGATCTCAGAGATCTCTGTGAACAATGACAATTTATGAGCTCAGAAACATATTTTGGTGCCAGTCCGTGTAGGGCTTTAAAAGTACAGAGTTACCTGAAAATTTCCATTATCCAATACATGGCTATTAACTTACCAATATATACATTACTTCTAATGTATTTCCAGGTGACGCTCTAAAAACGTACATACATAGTAAATCAGTAAAGCACCTTATATTTTATCCTAAAATGAACAGGTAGCCAGTGTACAGAGGCCAGAATAGGGGATATATGATCCCTCTTTCTTGTGTTTGTCAGCAACCTTGCTGCAGCATTTTGTACACTCTGAAGACGTCAAAGCAAAGACTGACTTACACCCAGGTACAAAGCATTACAATAGTCAAGACGTGAAGAAATAAAAGCATGAATTACTTTCTCCAGATCA